GTGTTCACTGAAAAAACATACCAGGTCAGCATTGACAAAGCGATTCCAGTTGGGAGCGTTGTTATTACGGTGAAAGCGACAGATGCTGATACCGGCTTAAATGCCAAAATTCGCTACGAAATCTTGTCTGGCAATACGGAGGGCTTGTTCGAAATGGAACCAATGTCTGGCATGTTGAAAGTACAGAAAGCTCTTGATTCGAATATTCAGTCAGACTACAGACTAGCGGTAAGAGGATACGATGGAGGTAACCCTCCTCTCGACGACTTCACCCGCATCCGAATCCATATCCACTCCGGAGAAAGCTGTCGGTTGTTCTTTCCAGGTTCTGCGTACATCAGCAAAGTGTATGAAAACAACCCTCCAGGCACTCCGCTCTTCACTGCAAAAGTTGTGCAATGCAAAAATGCCAAAAACATATCGATCAACTATTCGATTAGTGTGCCGCAGGACGACGGTGAATTTGTGATTAACTCGTTAAGCGGTGAGGTGAGAACTGGAAAAATGTTTGACTATGAACGAAAGCAGTTTTACGCTTTTACCGTATACGCAAAAGGTGACGGTGGCCAACAAGCTTCGATGCCTTGTCGCGTGATCGTGAAAGCTGTCGACGAATTCGCTCCCTGTTTCAGCTCATCTTCGTATTTATTTCAGGTAAACATCAACGACTTTAAATACAGTTAAATAGTTACTACTTATTCTAGGTATAGCATATTTTACTCATGCATTAATAGTTACGTTGTACAGCAACACAAAATACAGCTTTAATATATACAATCAGCTGATTAGTTGATAGGATAGAGTTACTACCGACGTTTCGGCATGAACCGACGTCTTCAGACGAAGTAGTAGATTTTTCACAGTTGGTTTCTTCTACACGTTTTCACAAATCGACAAAGTGTGGATAAGCGATATATCAATTACGTTTATTTATTTTACTTTATCCGAATGACAGTGCTTAATTTTGTACCTCGAAAAATTTAGGTAGAATCTCGGTTACAGAGCTTGCAAGATTTGAGAATATCGCTTCGCAATTTTGAAACTGAAACTAGTACAGCGACAAATCGTTTCAAAGACTTATTTTAATCTTGCACCCGGTTAGAAACAATTTCTTCTCGATCCGTTGAATAAAAAACAATTAGTTTCAAATACCGAGATGCATGGTTTGCGAAAAAAAAAACGTTACGTCACAAAACAAGCAGCAACTTTTATATAACTGTTACAGTACGAATAGCAAAAAAATGATCGACTCATCGACAGTTTTGAAATTCCCTTAAGGAGACGAAGATGACTTTTTTAATGGTGAGGATAGGATATCTGCACGTTCACCATAGTTACGGAAAATGCAATCTATCGGAAGGACAGCGGCATGACATACAAGGCTAGGCTATGTTAGCAGCTAAGATGACGCTCTCATCCCAATCCAAAATGTCATCTTTTGCTCAGAAAAGCAGCGTAATGAATCACTGTGCCAGGCGATACCGCTTGAGTACGTAGTCAAGGTAATTTCTGGCAAAACATATTTGTTGTATTAATAGTACTGCCTCTGCTGTTCTAAGGGGCCCATTTAAGCAAACCATAGTTTAGTCATATTTCAGTACGTACACTGTTAGATTTTTCTCGCATCATTTTGTTCACCAAAGCGATTTCGTACTTATCAGGAATGTTTCAACGGTTGCTTCCGTTCAAGCTCTGGTAGCCTTCGATGATGACCGTAAAACAACGTATGCTACGGCATAAGCATCAAAATAGAAATTCGCAAGCAGGAGGATATCAACTAGCGCATAACTCTCCAAGACTAGATTTATCAGCATGTTTCACGTCTCGGTGATTAATGTTAATATTTAAATTACGTGCTTGTTCGTTTAGTAATAAAACATTTATTTAGATACCCTACGACATTTCGCCAGGCAGTGCCATTGGATCGGTTGATGCACAAGATCAAGATTTTGGCAACGATGGCAAAATAAAGTACATCTTTAAGGAAGAGAGTCCATTTTTCACGATCGATTCACTGACGGGAATGATTTACGTGAATCAGAGTTTAACCGAGCTCTACCTGAAAAGAAGCATTACCCCTCAGATAGAAAACAGCCAGATACCTGAAGCGGTATCAGTGATCCTCACTGTGACAGCATACTCTGAATCAGAGTTAGGCGGAGTAAAAGAGAATTCGACCACTATCCAGCTGATGATAGGTGATTTTTTCAATGCGGTCGAGAGCACTGCTCAAAATTCAAGCCTTATTACGTCGATCGCCCTTGTTGTTATTCTGCTTCTGTTGATCGTCATTGGCATCCTGGTTCTACACCGACAGCGGAGGCGATGCAAGCCCTCTGCTTTGCACAGCATAAGTTTTCCGAAGAATTCGACCCTCAACCAGAAATCGTCGAATAGAAGATTGAAAGGCCTGCACGGAAGTAGCAAGAAAACAAGCAGCAATTTCAAAAACAACATTTTAAAACAACCGGATTTACTGAACTGCTCTCGACTACTGACAGCACACAAACCACAAAATAGCGTATCCCCCTTCTCTAATAAGCCTATTGGCGAATGGTCCACGGAAAGGTCTGAAAACTCCATCGAACGGGCGCTAAACCATAGCGGAGCTGAAAACCGACATGGAACACAAACGCGATTGTCGGACAGGCGAGATTCGGCTAGAAGTGCACGGCCTGATGACAGTTCTTCGGTTTGCTCTGATTCTGCGGTGGCTTTGGAGTACCTAACCAATTTAGGAGTGACCGCTGACGTAGATTCTACTATCGAGAAACACAAGGACCTTGAACAAAACCGAATACCTCTGAATCACAATTCAGTCATCCTCGA